CAATTTCAATCCAAGTCAAAGCCAATTTCAATTCAAGTCAATGCCAATTTCAATCCAAGTCAAAGCCAATTTTAATCCAAGTCAAAGCCAATTTCAATTCAAGTCAATGTCAATTTCAATCCAAGTCAATGCCAATTTCAATCCTAGTCAAAGTCAATTTCAATCCAAGTCAAAGCCAATTTCAATCCAAGTCAAAGTCAATTTCAATCAAAGTCAAAGCCAATTTTAAGTCAAGTCAAAGCTAATTTCAATCCAAGTCAAAGTCAATTTCATCTAAATTAAAGTCAATTTCAATTCAAGTTAAAACAATACAAATATAGATAAATAACTTTTAACATTTGCTTAAAAATTAAAGAGTATATCGTCCTTCAAATTAGGGGTTATTGTTTAAGAAAAATTGCGCCTTCACCAAAAATATCACGAAGAGCTGGAACTGAAAAAGAAAAAAAAAACAAGCAAATATAATAACAATATATTTATAATAATAAACTTTCTATGAAATAAGAATATAAAATGTATCATATTTCTATCTTTCGTCCTCATTTAGAAAACAGATCAAGATTATAAAGATCTGTGACTTACAAAGAGAAATCGCGATTAACTACACCAATTTTGATCATTTTTTGTAATAAAAATATATTAAATATAATTAAGTCTTAGAATCGTTTAATATGCCTCGTAAATAATATTTTTTTATACTTGAAATTTGGAGTAATTATTATGAAATAATACTTGTGAAATAAATGAAGTATTTTTATAAAGAAATATTTTAACTTATATTTTTAAAGATTTATACATTTTCTAAAATTTCTTTAAATAATGTAAAAATGTGAAGATGTACACACATTTCATAAAAACAACCATTCAAGTTCTCTATCTTAAGGATTATCTGATGAAAACATTTATATTCATTTTCTACATTGAATCAAATAATATAAATCATAAAAATATAAAAGACATTATAATATTTTTTACATACAACACGTCTTATAAATGTACTTGCTTCATATATCTTCATGGAACGTATGTGTATCTATTATTTAAAGAGGTTGGTTGCTTAAATTAATATGATAAGAATTAGTTGAAATTTATAGACGATATTCGTCTACGGGATTATACATATCTGTCATCCATGTTACAGTTGAAGACAATTGTACGCCTAGTTGTCGAGTAATTAATTATTGAAGATATTATATTCTTGTCTCTCTCTTATACATAAGCGACATAGCAAAAATGTTACATAACCTGTAATAACTCTCGTCAAAAATAATAAGAATTTAATAAAAATAGGTGCAAATAATTCTTTACATATTTAGGAAAGACTTTTTCGAAGACTGAAATGATTTATCTACATAGTAATCAAGAAATTGTAAAAATAAAACAGGACCACATTTATTATTGTCATATTTTAACGTGGATAATAATATATTTGAATTTTAATTATAAGAACAATTCTTTTTAAACCTTAAAACACACTTTGTAGAAAATAACAATAAGGAATTGCATTGCTTGATTCGGTCATCTGTAACCGTAGAAGTAAAAATGAAACATCACAATTGGTCGAAACCTTACTGTTACGTTCTACAAAAAGTATGTGTACCCTGGTGAAAAAACAGCAATTAAATGCATTTTACATATTTTTAATAAAATGTATAAATCTTTAAAAATGAAAGAAAAATATTTCTATAAAAATATTTCTCTATAAAAATATTTTATTTATTTCAAGATTATTTTATACAAACAAATATTTAAAAAGATATATATGTATCTAAATATATGCTAAACTTTTATTTTTACATAATAAATACTACATATTACAAGTATATATAAAATAGTAAAAAAAAAATAAAAATAAGAAAAACTATATGTATCAAATTATAGAGAAATATATAAAATTATGTATAAGCTATTATATAATTATATATAATTTTATACGACTCCTCTATATATAACTTTATATAATATTAGCTGACTCCTACATATATCATGTAATATAACATACAAGGTGGCCCATGATTCAAGATCCATACATTAAGAGTATATTATTAAAGTTATTTAAAACAGTACAAAATTACTTTTTTCAAAAAAGGTAAAAAAAGATGCCAAGTACACGCAATATATTTTGTAAATTCAAAAATCCAACCTAAGTTGTAACTTTATTTCTCCTTTACAAAATTATATTACTTAACTCATCTCAAGTGACATGCATTTCAAAAGAAATGTAAAATTTTTAAATTAAATTGCACCAATTGCAAAGAGAATATGTATATTGCTTTGAAAAATAATTGTTGTGCAACTACTTCTACAAAATAAAACCTAAGTGATACCTTTGTATTCCTATTCAATAAGGATCTTCCTATTCCAACCCAAGTGGTAATAGCTTCTTAATTCTCCTTAACAAATTTTTAATATTACAAA